CTTTGGTATGTATGTTCTAGTATAATATACTAAAACACAGCTTAGGAATATTTTACTTTTCGGATATTTTCCCCCACTAATATATACGCTTTGGTACATACACACTCTTGTAGAGTGAACTATATAAAAACCGGAGTTAACCAGAAAAGCATATCACATACAAAACGAAAATGAAGTATGTACTTGTGGGAAGTGAATATTATTGTATCGGCAGCTCGGCGTTCAAGATATCTGCTAGTCGGGCAGACCCGACGAGAGAGCCCTTCTACTTGTTTTCCCTGCCGTTTTCCTTGATGCCATTGCTGCACGCTGCACGCATAACGCAAAAGTGCTGCATACTCCAAGGGGCTACCCGAATTGGCAACTCACATTTGATACTCGTATGCTCGTATATGCACCATACATACATATATGCGTATGTGCCTCATACATATACAAGCGAGAGCGAGAGTATTTCAACCAAACAGCACATCGTTTGCTCGAACTACATTGTCTGTTTGCATGCAAATAAATTAAAGCAACGCGCGCGTTTCAGCCCACAACCCCTCACAGCCCCCCACAGCCCCCCTGTTGCCCTACCAGCCCCATCAGCAGCACGGCTGAAGGAGACTCACACTATCCTGCATGTGCTCAGTTTAGCTGTCAGCTGCAATGTGAGGCTTGCGATACAAGCGTATTATATTTAATAACTTAATAAATGCATTATAATATGGGCGAATTACGCTTGCGAGCTCTTGGAATGTTAGCAACAAGAAAATATACATAGCAGCAACAGGCCAGCAGAATGCACTGCAGATGTATCATATTCAAAACTCACACAAACTCCATGAGCTAAAATATATTTAGGACACAAAAATAAGTAGCGATATGCCCTTTATATATATATAAGGCTAAGTCGCAGCCATGGTCAAGCCATTCTGAGCTAATATTATAATATTTAATTAAGTACAGCAAATATATTGTTGACAAGCAGAATAGAAGGAGATACAAACAGTGACTAAGTCGAAAATTTTTAGCTTACTTCCTTCTGAATATGAATATCTATAAAACAAAATACAACCATATAAACAACAATCTCTAAAATTCTTATTATAGTTACCTTATGTGATGAAAAAACCCCACAAGAGACGTGTTTCACGCTCATGCATTTTTCAAAAAGTGTGAAACACTCATCAGATGAATTTGAACGTAGATCTTTGCAAAATGAGTTTGAGGCTAATCGGATGGTAAACAAAAAAGTTGTATACAAATGTTTTTCGTTTTATACAAACGTACCCCGTCTTAACTTCATCAGTTGAATATAATATAGAGATAAATAAGACAGATATTAAAGATATATACAGTGTATAATAGTTCAAGAGTGCTGACAAAAAATCAAAGAAAACGGATACACAGATGGGTAGAGAAGAGGAAATGCCCTCAGCGACGCGAAGACTAAGACGACTAAGACTAATAAATATGTGTTGGTAACAGCGTCTAGCATTTCTAACGGCTGACAACATAAAACAGTTTTACATAATTGCCCTCTCAAAAGTCGGTTGAGACAACGAACTTGTGTGTGCATAGAGGAGCACGTATAGTCCCAGTTTTGGTGTGTGCTTGCTGCACAAAGTTTCGTGCGTATAAGGAATTGCATAGGTGAAGAAGAGCCTGTCCTCATTGCAGCAACAATCTGAACAACTTAGAGTGATCTGGTGGGGAGTGTCCGGCTAGTAGATACCAAGAAACCAGTGTCGAGCTGCCGTTAGAAACATTATAGCTTCCATACATGTTCAATAACACCGACATTTGCTGTCACCGATTTTTATCGAATTAATCGATTCATGACTTAAATAATGATTTGAAAGAAAGGCTGGCTGGAAGCTAGTTTCTAATCCTTATTGTCTTTGATCAAATACATGGACAGACAGACAGATAATGCTGCTGAATATATATATATAAAAACATTATAGCTTCCAAACATGTAAAAAATCATCGACATTTTCCGTCATCGATTTTTATCGAATTTATAGACACATGACTTAAATAATGATTTGAAACAAAGGCTGGCTGGAGGCTGGTCTCTAATCCTTATTGTCTTTGAGATAGATGTGATCACATACATGGACAGACAGAAAGATAGACATGCCTGACATCGACTCTGCTCTTAATGCTGCTGAATATATATAAATAAAAACATTATGGCTTCCATACATATTCAATAACATCGACATTTACTGTCATCGATTTTTATCGAATTTATCGATACATGACTTAAAAATTAATTTGATACAAAGGCTGGCTGGAGGCTAGTCTCTAATCCTTATTGTCTTTGAGATAGATCTGATCACATACATGGTCAGACAGACAGATAGACATGCCTGACATCGACTCTGCTCTTAATGCTGCTCAACATACGTACCTATCAATATATATAAAGAGAATAATGATGCCAGCCAGAGCTTATATATATGTATATACCCTTTTTGCCCCTTTTAACGGGGTATATCAGTAACAACAAGTATGACATAGGTATTTTGTAAACAAATGAAACAATTAATTTGATACCATGTTTCAGCCAAATCCTATTAGCTGCAACGGTGTGTCGCAGCCACTTTCATGCATACTTAATTGTCAGGTTTCGGTGCAACTTTACACACACACACACATTTTAGGAACCGTTGGCCAACTGTTGCGCCACACACACTCTGTAAACGAGGGGGCAAGTGCTCCTTGCCTGACTTTCGTTGTTAAATGTCCGTGCGGATGTTGGGCTGGGCTGGGCTGCTACTTAAAAAATTAATGGCCTGTGGCATGTGCTGCTCTGAGGTGTTTTCATTTAAATTTTAAGACAAGCGCCGCTTACAGTTGAGTTATGCGTTAAAATTTCAACTTCTTGATATCCATGTATGCACACGGAAAAGTCAGGACACCTATGTCTGCCGAAAACCCAGACCCAGACCCAGACCCGGACCCGGACCCGGAGCCACCCCAGAACCCAACCTAGTCCCTGGTTCAACCCCATCACCGCCAACAGCCGCTAGACTCCGGAGTGGAAAGTGGAAAGTTTCCAAAGCGCTATACCTGTGCCTGTGTGTGTGTGTGTGTTGGTAAGGTAATTAGAAAATTTTATGCGATTACTACTTGCTTGTTTAACATTTTGGGCAACATGCCTCCATCCTTAAACATACATACACACTCGCCATGCAGAAAAAAGGAACAACAACATGCAACTGCGCCAATGATGCGAAGTAAAGTACAAAAGCGGCTTTTCGAATATTAATGGAATACTAAATACATATAACGTGGTGTAAAGTGCCAGACTCACAAACGCATTCAAATTTATACGAGGGCAGCTAAAAAACTATAGGCAAGCGAAAAGTGTATATTTTATTCTTGACATGATTGTTCCTTAACCTAGTTATCGTAGGCAGCCTCGTCCGATAATTAGTGAATTATGAAAATCAGTCAAAAAGTATGCAATCAAAGTTGTCTTATCATTAGGCCCAAAACTAAAAATTAAGCTTCAGTTTGGAGTAAAACTTGCAAGAATGTACATACCATTAGTTGGTCTCCTTTTCCACTCATATTCCGTGCAGATCACTTGCACGTTTTTTAGTGAGGCAAAATACAAACAAATTACATAAACTGTCACGTGGAAAACTATTTTTCAATATCCATGTAAAAGCTCATTTGCAAATTAATGCTAGTTTTGCTTCTAGCCAAATAATTATCATTGCCTTCAGAATTTTATTTGATATTTAAATAATTACTTTGCCTTTTCTCTCTTGCATACATTATGAAACTATTTAGTAATTGGTTAAATAAAATAATACTTTAATAGGTAAAACAATTTCAATTTATGTTTTCGTTACAAGCGCAATTTTGTGGCTTAAATATACTCTTTGGAAATTATTTCAATAGTACTAGCAAGACATTTGAGGCCAGAATAAATATATTGCGGTATTTATTTAAGTGATGCCAAGTGCTGACAAATTTCAAGCTTTAGCTTTACCAGAAATGTATGAAGATTGTTATACTCTGTGCAGAAGTGAGATGAAGATTATTGGCTTGCAACTTTGACGACCTTGAGAAAATTGCAGACTTCCAACTAAGTATGTGTACGTATCTACATAAGATACACTAGACTACACAGAGTAAAATGGAGAAAATTGGTTGCCATATCCGTCGATTAAATGAACATTTTTCGAACATCTTGAATCCTAAGACATCCAACTAAACATATACATATACATAATTGAGCAAATATTTTAGCGCACGATCGCCCTGCGCTCCAAACGCACAAATCTCCATATTTCTAACAGTTTAAAAGCCATTGACAGTTTAAAAGCTGCTCTGCGGTCAGAGTCAGCAACAATTAGGAGAACTCTATTTCGACCAGTTTTAAGCTGTTATTGCAGTGCACACAGAGCATTGCGCAGTCAGTTGCCCCGGTTGTACTATTTACGTATACACAATTTCGTAGAGCTTTTTTGACTTTGACTCAGTTTTGTTACATCGCTAGGAAATTAGCTCAAAAAGTAACTCAATTTGCGCTCAAAACACATCTAAAACGAACTAGTTGGCCGAACGAACGAGCTTCGTGCGAGTTGTGTGTGTTTGCCTTCGGCTGCTCGTCGACAACTCGTCGCACAAATGATTTTTGAGAATGGAGGGAGCCTCGGTGCTGCTTTCGCTTAGACGCACCCACAAAGCACTTCAAATGCCATTGAATTCAATTGAAGTGGTGCCTAGAAGAAGGCGTTAACCAACCAAACGCTCGGCTTGAGTCGTAGTCGTTTTGAGTGCTTTGCTGTAAAAAGTGCGCAAAATCCTTGTCGTCGAATAAAAAAATTGTTCGTTCAGCCAATTGCAGGCGCCAGCAGCAAGGTTATTATTATATTTGTTTTTCTTTTTTGGTTTCTTTGTTTTCTAATCTATATATATATATATATTTTATTTGTTTGTGTTATTTATTTATTTTTAAATACAAATGTATATTGCTGATATGGTTTCCATATGTATATATATATATATATTATTAATATATATGTATATAAACTTATCGTGCGAAAAAAAAGACATCTACTTTACTAACAAAGAATATTACAAATATTCTCGTAAATTCCCATTTAAAAGCATTTTTGTTTAAAATGTTTTATGTACTCTAATAGGCATACATATAAATAACGGCAATATTTCAACATCCTATCCATATTCATTTTTCTACATAAATAGCTCTTATAGTTCATTGGATGATATTTCATTGTCTTCGTATTGTGATTAATATTCGTTTTTTTCTTTTTCATGTTTATTGTTAGCATATAACAATTGCTACAATTGGTTTTTGTTTTTTTATTATTATTATATTTTTTTATATGCAGATTTCCGATCTTTCTGCTGTTTTCTATATACATAAGCTTTCCTTCTGATTCTATATATGTATATATAAGTAGTAAGTATTACTGCACGAGGCATATGCACGAGTACACATTCATATGAATACATCGCTCAAACTTATGGACGACCCCGATATCTGGAATATTATTTGTGATTAAACATCTATTATTATCAGGAAAATGATAGACCTGGAAGTTACTTTCATGCGATGGAAATAGGCTGAGTAAAGCTGCAAAGTTTGGGATATGGGATATTCAGAAAATGAAATCGAATTCTGGTCCTTTTTGTTAAAAAGAGGCACCATTTTAGTTATTATTGGGCTCATGATGGGTTACTTTTATGTGCCTGTAAGTTAGAGCTCACATTTGTTACGATTACGATTACTCTTACATGTTATATTACTTATTTGTAGACTTCGTATGTTGATATATATTTTTAACGCATATACACAAAGTGCAAGTGCAAGAAGCTCTCGATTTTGTTCTCGTGTTCAGTTTCGATTCATATATGCATTTTTATTTGTTGTAGAGGGCGTCTCATTAGGTTCACCCCTATAATTGAAATCTTAGTGTTTTAGTTGATTTAATTATAGACACCGATACTACAATTAGCACAATCCTGATAATATTGTATATATTTTTAACAGAAACAATAGTGCATAGGCTTTATTTACCTTCAGTGTAATTGCGATCGCAATTAATGGCCTCTATCATTTATTTGCGTAATACGATAAGTATGATTTTGGTAGTATACTTGTATATGTATATATTGATCTAAATATATATTGTATTGTATGCTCTTAACTCAAAAAATTACTATAGGCCTCTCAGTAGTTAGTATTTCATACAAGCCAATGCTGCATTTTTTTTCTCGTTGTTTAAGTAAATTATTTGCTGCCAATAATAATTTGCATATTTGTAATTTGCCTGCCCAGCTTGGACATCTGCTTAATGCATGCATGTGATTATGTGTACATTTATATAGATACATATGTATTTATAACTTATTTGTATGTACAATGTTTGCCAGTATGTGTGTGTGTATATGTTGTACATTATACAACTCATGTGAATACCAATTACATATGATGCGCGCTATGCTCTATATATATTCTATAATTATGTTTGCAAATCTATATATGCTCATGGCTATATAAATTTATTTTCCTTATACATGTACACTCAAAAAAAAAAATTGTTTGCTACATTTCAGAAAATTGCCATAAAATGAACAATTTTCTTTGTTTCAGAAAATATTTTCGCAAAAATGTATATCTTAGGGAAATTTCTCCTTTGTTTAGACAACAAAATGTTATGAAATGTTTGAAAATTTTTCATTTTATGACTATTTTCTTAAATGCTCGGGGGAAAAAGTGTATGTATTCAATTTCCACAGACTTTTCCCATTTTTCACGAATGCATTTCCACCTAAACTAATCATCTGCAGACCGTTGAATCGTCACCGGCGCATATCGAATGGGGCGCTGCCAGGAACAGCTTGCCGTTAAAGCAGGCACACAGCTGGAAGACTCGATGCATGTGATCTCGACTCTGGGCAGAGCCAAGTATCGGTGGCTGTGCAGTCCGCAAATTGGGCATAACTATTTTCGAGGACTCCAACCGTACCTGTTTTATCGTAATAGGTGTGTCGTAATAGGAGCAGGAGAAAATGATTTATTGATTGTCTAGCAGTAGCTAGTGTGGTCTAGATGTATTCATATACTTACGCTGCCATCGAGTGCACGCAACTTGACGTCCTCCAAAGCTAACAGTTCAATGCCACCGGCTCGCGATTGTATATTAATATCTTTAGCGGCAGTTAGCTCTAATTGACGTGTCGGCGACTCTAGTCTGCAAATAGTAACTCAACAAGTTAAAATAATAAAAACAAAAGCAATGACAGTAGGCTACATACTAGTCAATTGGCATTACATAAATCCCTAACCAAGCCAAGTATCTCGGCATCGCCTTGGACAAGCGCCTTACCTTTGGACCACACCTCAAAGCTACGGTAACAAAATGTCGTCACAGATTGCAACAACTGCGGTGGCTCAACAATAAAAGAAGCACCTTGCCGCTTAGATTCAAAAGAGCTGTATACGTGCACTGTATTTTGCCAATATGGCTTTATGGAGTGCAGATTTGGGGGATTGCAGCCAAATCCAATTATAAACGTATACAGGTATTGCAGAATCGGGTACTACGTCAGATAACGAACTGTCCCTGGTACGTACGCGGTTCCACGCTCCATAAAGACCTCAAACTGCATACAGTCGAGGAACAGATTGGAAGGCACACAAGCAGATACAGCGAAAGATTGCTAAACCACCGCTCCCTGCTCGCAAGAGGACTACTCCCTGCCCGACCAAGGCGACTTGAACGGCAAGGTTTTGCCAACACGATTGGACGACAGTAAGACTACCTGCATCTAAAATCTTCATACAGCGGTATGGGGTTCGGTTTTTAATTACATTTGCCATCCATGTGTTGTTAAGGTACTAAATTATGAGTGTACAGGTTCTACACTTAATAGAAATAAAAATATATAAAAAAAAAAAAAAATCCCTAAACTAGTGCGATTTTTTTTTACCAACCCTGACCGATTGACTGGCTGACTAGGACGGACTTTTTCAAAATTAGACCCCCAACTGCAGGAAATCTCCAAAAGCAATGCAACATAATAAGCGTGATTTGCAAAGGCTGTGTCTTTAGCTATAACATAGGTGTCTGAGCGTCTGACTAAAAAGCGGAGGTCATGCCGGTTCGAATTCAGCAGCAATTAAGTGTCTCCATGACCGTCTCAGCCGTTTTTTATTTTTTAATTTACTAGTTATACAACAGCTTATATGAATATGATAGGTAAATATCTATGTTTATCGTTTTGGGAAACAACAGGAATTATCGATAATTTTAATCGACCTGCGCTTACAAGAACTAACAACCCCAACTAAAGTGTCTCTACCTTAAGTGCGGTGCGATGGATCGATTCGGCAGCTGATACTGATCAAGAATATATATATACTTGGCGGAGTCGAAGCGATTCCTTCTATCTATTATATATATTTGCATACATGCATACTTATGCATATAAATGAATATATTATTGGCCTATTTTTTGCCAGATATACGTTATTATTTTCAATGAAAACGTATTGTCCTATCGTGTGTAATGTATTATTTTTACTAATCACAAAACGTCTGTTTTCCAACTTGTTTTTTCTTTTGGTTGACAACATTAAACGGCGGCAAATGAAAATCTTGTGTGTGAATTTCGGGTCGCCATTGATAACCAATATTATGCCACTTTAATTCAACTACTATTTTGATAAAATCGCTTATGTGCTGTCAAATGCTGTCCGCACATTGCACAATTTTGCAAATTTTCATGAAAAAGCAAATTTGTCAATGTAAACGTTACTGCGGGCATAGCTGTGCCGTTAATGGCCCGTACACACACACACACACAGTTGCCCACCTTAAACCCATACTCGGGCCGGAAAACATACGCCTGGTCCATTGAATAAAGCGAGTTATCAACACAATATTCGAATACTGACGCAACGATTCCCTAGCAATAAACAAAAAAAAAAACATAAAGAATCAATGTCCTAGAGCGCTTTTCAATTCAGTCGTCGCAACTGATGGCGATCCCCACAGCATCGCTCATAGTATCTATGTGTGTTTGTATGCATGTATGTGTGTGGTGTGTGTGTAAATATTTTCGCTCTTCAACAAGCTACATGCCAACACCTCCCGAGTGAGTGTCTGCGTTTTGTGTTGCGGCTGTTGTTGTTGTTGTTGTCGCCGCAAAGGTGATGGTGACGTTGACACACACAGGTGAGCGGTGTTTGTTTTTAATTTTTTATTTTTGAGATTTTCCCGTGCCCGATTAATGTGTTTGGTGTGTGCCGACGACATACATACATCTGTATGTGAGATATGTGGTATATGGATTCTACGAAATTTATTACTCTTGTTGAATTTCGACACTGTGAACAATTTTGTTCTGTGGCATTCCAGAAGCTTGGTATGTTTTTTACTCTTACTTGATGAAATGTGTAACGCATTAAGTGTTGTTTTTATAAAGTATTTAACGCAGAGTTGGTTCGGTCAGCTATATCTATATCATCTAGCTGTCATGTGAAACGAGACAACGCCCTAATTTATTTTTTTTAAGTTTTAGCTTTATGATTTACTATGATCGCAACATGTGGGAAAACTTTATTCAACATGGGTCTGCTTTTAATATAGTATTTTGCCTTAAAGCATCAAGATTTTTCGGTTAAGTTTTGTTTATGTTTAGAAAGCTTGCTGAAGAGTATTAAATCTTCGGGACCTGCAAACTAAAAGCTGTTATGTTGTTTTACATTCTTGTGAATAGACAGCATGCGATTGATTAAATTACTTTTAGCGTTGATCACCAGTCAGGCTTATCATTGTTAGTATTATGTTTAATAGTATAAGATTCACCAATGTCTGGTGAAATTATAACTGATCTGAGGCGATAGTATGTACATATATTGAAGGGATTGCTCCTCTTAACACACAACACACACTTACCTGAGTTCCCTGCCCGGCTCAGCACGCACGTGCGGCGTTTGTATGGACTCCCGAAAGATGGCGCCACCCTCGCCCTCGATGCGCAACGTATGCGCCCCGATTGTGACTTCATTTCGATTTACGGAAAATAAATTTCGTCCGTTGGTGTCGTTGATGCGAAATCCCGCTGACAGACATTCAAACTTATCGTGCCCCAAGAATAAATGATTCTCGAGCACACCGTTTGAGTCACGTGTATTGATTGAAAAATTACGTGACGATTCTGTTGATGGCAACCAAGACGGTAAATAGAAAAAAATTTAATACAGAAAACTTAAAAAATATGTTTTTTTTTTCGATATTTTAATCACTGATCGCAGTTAGGTTTCTTTTTGGAACTGAAAAACTGACAGCATATGAAATATTTAAAAAAAAAATGTATTTAAGGCAAAAAATCTCTAAAATAATATGGCTTGGTTCGATTTTGGGTTCGGCTGTTTGGTCAGCCAAATTTCAGGCTAAAGCCGGCAGATACAATATCTCAATTTAGCTATCTATTTACAAAGCAATCAGATGTCACACGAAATTCCTTTTTTGTTTGTGTGTGTGTCTATCTGCCATAGAATAAAATGTTTGCTGTATGACCGTGACTTTTCCTTCATTTGTTTTCGTTGGCTGAGCTACGGATCTCCTCACACATGGAGATTATCTGTAATTGTACAATGCGTGATTCCTCGAGGCCGCCGGCTCCGATCTCATTTGATTAGATGCCACCTCCGCTTGTCCCTTTAAATTCACAGTTTTTGCATACACACACATATGTGTGTAAAGGTATGTATGAACGCTTGAGGTCTTCCGCTTTGGCATTCTTTTGCCAGGTGCCTATCTGTGAATCTGTGAATCTGCTGATTTATGGCTCGAGTGACAACGGCGCACATTTGTCGCAGCCAGTCTCAACTTTGGGGCAGTCACCTTTAAGTTTAGGGGCTTAGAGGAATACAAATTGGACTGCTTGAATTGGATTTAGAGTGTGAAAGTGTTTTTTTTGTTAGACTAATAATTATGCAGTCTTTATGAACGCATCGAACTCGGGCACCAGGTGTCAAGTTCGGCAAAAGGGGTCAAGAATATTTGTATTTTCGCATTTATTAGATGCTTTTCAGAGATGCAACTTTGATTTAAATTTGCCAGTGTGTTATGTATGTGGACAAGTAGAATAAATACTCTCAAATAAAATCTTCTTAAGTTTGAAAAAAGTACAGAGGTTACAAATATATAATTAACATATATGTATATATATTAGGATAGTTAAATCATTCTGTTAAGGGATTTTGAAGTTTCTCTGGGATAACCCTATAAAACCAGTTTCTAAAAATATGTGGCTTTATTTTGATAAAAAAAAAAAATCGGTCCTCAAACAAAAAATAAATAAAAAATAATTTGTAAGCAATAATTATGCTCGACATCGGAATTTGTTTGATTTAAATATAAAGAAAACAATCAAGGAAAAAGAAAAAAGAAACGGAATATTTATATATATTTTTTTCGGTCTTAAAACACCTGCCACCCGCCCAATCACATGAATAACTTAAGATGTGTTCATTTTGAATATTTAAGTATTCAACCGGAGTACTTACCAATGGATATTGGCTGTCCGTGCCTAGAGCGTATAGTGGATGCCCGCAGCATGTCCATAATTACCGCTTGGCCTGTGAGCTGGATGCCCCCGGGAACAATTTTCAGTTGACCCATGCCATCCTGCAATGCCGCTCGATGTATCAGCCAAATATGCAGAGAATTCGGGGAGAATGTCTGTACTTACCGTTGAAAACTCCATCACCTTGAGTATCCATAGGGTCAGCACCAGGTTTGTGATAATGAGAAGCATTAGCAGTAGCAGCAATGTATATAGGCACTTTTTACGCCAGCCGATTAGGCCGAGATATGTCTCGATTCCATCGACTAAACCAGCCACATTTTCTTGCTTTTTGGCACCGACAGATAAACCTTTTCCGCCGGCCGTAACACTGCGACTCCCTCCTCCTCCTCCTCGTCCTCCTCCTCCTCCTCTGTCAATATTGGTCTTGGCCATCATTATGGTGGCCGTCTTGGCGGATGCGCCGGCACTTCCACTAGCCATTTGGCTGCTTTTACCTTTTCGCATTTGTCTGGGCGTTGCTCCAGCCTGCTGTTGTCCTTTTAACGCTGGTATGCTTGTAGTTGCCCTACAAACTCCAATTTCTGCGCTCCCACCGGCTTGCATCGCAATCAATTGATTTTCCTCCCCCGGTTGCAATGCGGTTTTGTTTTTGTTTTTGTTGTGATTACTTTAGCGATTCGCGTTGTCCATATTAATTACTAAGCCGACGGATTAGCTTAAGCTAATCAAATTTGGATTTCAATTTTATTTTTTTTCTTCTTTAAAATTGTGTCATTGCCATAAATGTACTCCAACTGTAAATAGAAAGAGAAACCATTTTTTTTAAATAAAATATTGCAGAAAATGTTAATGTTAACAGTGCCAAAATATGTAAAATTCATTATGTAAAGTTCATGCGTATATTCGTTTGGCAGAAATGTATCAAAAGTGTTAATTTAGGTATAAAATGGTACAATAGAACTTTCTATAACAACGTGATACTTCGTTCCCGTAGTTTCATAATAGTTTTCAAAAATATTGTTTAGGTTTGATTTTCGATCGTTCAAATATGTGAATATTTGAGGATCTTACATTTTTCCTTACATTCATTTAATATACTTTTAATAATGTGGTAAATTTTTAACTAAATATATATTATAAATTGGCTTCTGTAGCTAGTTATTGTTAATTATTGTGTCGAAAATGTCTTCTGTAACAAATGTCTTAGGAAATTCAAATGATCTCTGGAATGGCATAAAAGATTGATATGAGAAGCTCTTTAATGTCAAATGCACACACATAATGTGCTTTCAATTTATATGTTAGTATGCATTTCAACTATGATGTGTATGCCACTGACTGACTGACGAATGAGCTGCGATTAAATTACAGTTTTCGTTCCCATCTTTGATGCTTTGATGCTCCTGTTGTTGCCTTGCCCCATCTGTTGATGGCTTCGGTGGGGCATCAGCATCAGTTGCTAGCGATGGCGACTTCACACGTGCAATTGTTAAATTATGCACAACTGCATATCAAAGTATGCATTTGTGCATTCATATATACGCATGCATATTTTTGTGTGAGACAGTGAGATAGATAAAGAGAGAGGGAGATGAGGAGAGAGAGAAACAGAGAGGAAGATACATGTGCCTGCACATAATCTGATGCATTCACTTGCATCACCACCGGCAAGTACCAATTTTGCGCATTTATTAAGTTTTTCCATCAAAAGAAATCACAAAAATAATAATAAAAAAAAAACAAGAAGGAACTTTGCCGTCGGAAGCAACTGACTGAGACATACTCTTTAACAGTATGAATAAGTCGACAAGATTTTTCTTTATACATATGTCGCTAATTATGAGTTTACTGACTCTGACTGGGTGACTTTTAAAGTGTTTGAAGGAGCTCATCAGTTATCTACATGCTAAATATAATGTCTCTCGACCTTTGCTTTTATAAATTACCCATAAAATATCGCTCATACGCATAGAAGACATTTTGTACAATGCTGATATACTCGATTGCACTTTGTGATCAGAGCATAAAAAACTATTTGAAATGAATAAAATATGGATGGACACATTTTCGCGAGACTCATAAATATATTAATTGAGCTGCATGAAGTAAAACATGTTTACCCTTAAAGAGAACATTAAAAATGGCGCAAATTCCCAGATAGTTGTATTTTTCGTTTGGGTCACCGTTTCGGTTAGAATAGTCTAGAGACTTGAATAGAAAAGTTAGTGCTTAAACGCCAAGTCCAGTCAATTAAAAATAAACCAGAAGTGAACAAAATCTAAATTTAGAAAATTTGTATATGTAGTAGCTCTCATGTGGCTTTTCATGGCCACTGCGCGAGAACAGTGTGTGAGCAATGAAACACACACATTTCTCGTCCGCTTAATAAAAATATAGAATTAAATGTGTTGCTTTTCGTTTTTCGTTTCGTTTCGTTTCGTTTTTGAGACTTATTTTCACATATTTCGCAAGAACATTGCGTTGTTGTGTGTTTTTCTTCTTTATAAATGCTCCCAATATGGCATACCTTTATTTTATTGCTATACCTGAAGTCATTTTATTACCCCACATTACTATTATTATTATTATATAATAGATGCTTATTTTTCCTTCATGCTGTATATATGCTTGAAGCCAGAAGCACCATTTCCTGCCCATTTACTGATTGGCATGCAAAATGATTGAACCAGTGAGTTAAATCTTAATTGAATGGTATGCATTGAAAATAATGCAGTTGGATCTCTCTCTGTTTTTGTTTATTCAATGCTATTTGGCAATTAAGAAACTGTGTTTATTGAATTTGGAAATGAATTAAAAATTACGAATAAATAAAACATATTGTAAACAAGTCAATTTAAAATTAATACTTTTGGCCGATTGTCTTTGAAGATTTCTGTAGATAGTTCACAGCCAACTGTTTCCAAATATTGCATACATCTTTTTCTTTATACGTTTAGAAATTGTTTGAATACGCTCAAAATGTTTAATTGCGGCTTAACTACTTAACTGCATATGAGCTGAAAGGAAAATGGTGAAAATAATAAACAATTGAACCAAATCAATTTAATTTCCAACAAAGAATCTCACAAATGAACATTTTTGGGGCTTAAGCACTGTCGATGACAGTATCATCTGCGGTCATTTGGGGCGATGAACACTGACAACATAAAAGAGTAATTTAAATGAATTCAAATTATTTTCTTCAATTGTACACAAATTTTTTTCTATTGCCTAAAGCGGACTTGAATTGATTAAAATTGTGTGTCCTTGATAGATATACATTTTATAGTTGGATTGCATTCAATTGCCTGCTGCAGTTTTTTCTTTATAGTATAAAAAAGGTTTTACACCGCGACTTGCTCTAGTATGAGGGCTGTAATTATTCAGAGATGTGCTCCACCTCTGCCCATCCGTATCTTTTTTTTTTATGGAAAACTTTTATTTTTATAACAGACAATTTTATTGTCCGTGAAAATCGAAATCTGGAACAGGAACAGAGACTGGAACACCACTTCTACTTATTTTCACACTCTAAACTTATTGAAAATGGCCATAATAGTTTTATAAATGTTTTCTGGTCGAGTTCAATCAAATAATATCCCTTTATTAAATAGCCGCCAAGATTTTTATTCAATTTTTATAAGTTGTCGTGCTATTTGCTTAGTTAGACTGACGAGAGATAGTTGTTATAGTTTGTTTTTAAATACAACAATTTATGTGGTTAAGAAGCGCTGTGGATCAAATTGTAAATTATAGTAGTCGTTGGCGACACTCTAGGAAACACTTTGCGAAACTCAAAGGGAGTTTCAAGAGTTAGGAACTGCATACAAGTGCAGACATTGTGTAATATTAGGCGGTGCAAGGGGTTTGTGTATATAAACGTTTTCATAATACGTACATACATAGCCATAATCTCAAAAAAGAACTTGGACAAGCAGTCAGGCAGACTGGCGTAATGGCGGTCGGGGAACGTGCTCTGTGTGAGCCGGTAACTAGAGCCCGAATGCAAATAGCCAGCGAGTTGATTTAGTATCTGCAGACAGCCGGTTATTACACGCACTCGAATGGCGAGCAAAAGGTTTACTGGGCGGAAATAAGGACAGCAACTATTAGTTGCAGTGGCAGTGCCAGTGGCGAGTCGAAAGTGGAGAGTCGAAAGTGGAAGCGACGGCTGCTAGCACGTACGTCCAGTTTTAGTTAAGTTACAGATATAGTTGCCGCTTAGTTAATGTTGCATGTTCGCATCGTTGTTGTTGTTGTCACACGTTTTTATTGCCGCAAATGCAACATATGCTCCAAAGTATTCTGCTGCAGCAGACAGAGCTCAGCTAGTCACAGAATATCGCCTAGCCAAAGTACATACACTTTTGTACACTACATGTCCCCCATACCAAAGCACAACGAGTCGGATCTGACATCCTCCACACCATAAAGAAAGCCCTTCTAACGATAAATTGTTATCTAAGTAGTTGAATAACCCTTAATTACATAATATTTTCTACATTTTTGAAAATTTAGATGTAGCTCAAAAAAATATTTTTAAAAAAATTGGTTTTTGTTTTCTAGTCAATTGAGTAGCGATCTTTAATTTATTATTTGTTATTTATGAAAGAAGGACGTGTCTCACCAGCAAAATATGGAGAGCATGGAAAATATCGGCTAGATTTTCCAGCAGAATAACCAGGCATTGAGTATTAGTTGTCCAACATAAACATTTTAAAGGAGTATAAACTAATATTTAAATATATGTTAGATAAAAATATATATATATATATATGTATATATGTATATAGTGAGACTGTAACACCTTTTCTCGGCATATGCATGAAGGTATGTTGACTGTTTGGTGTTGTAGGGTGCTCGTATGTTTGGGAATGTGTGCACACTTTCGGAAACGGAAACTTATATAAAGTTGTTCAAAAGTCCTTGACAATGGGTAATTTTGAGGGAAGTGGGCTTATTTCAGGCAATAACTAGACGGGAAGCATACTTTGAAGGGCCACATGGCAGTCCATGGCGACCCACAACAAGCAGGCATACAGACACTTGGCCATTTATTCTTAAATGGAAAGCATTGCATTGTCCTGCTATTAAGTTATCAACAACAGCAGCAAACACACATGTTCGCATGAGTTCATTGGGGTCGGACACGTATTGTGGCGGTGTTCATATGTTGTCCATATGCATAGAGACCCTAGACCCTAGTTGGGCAGGCAAGTTCAGCTGCTGTTTTGTGCTTGCTAGCTTCATGATGTGCCTTTTTGAAGGTGTTGTAGTAGCGACCAAAATTAAGTAACAGTACAAATAGTGCTCGTTTGAGCCAGTATCTGATTGTCAGAGAAAATATTTTTATTCATATCACGCGTAGGGACGATAAGCCCAAAATTTTTTTTGCAACACACACTATCACAAATTAAATTTTCCCTTTTTGTTGAGCTGTACATTTTTTGCAAAAGGAACGATTCTAGTATCTTTGCATATATTTACATATTTATAGTGAATGAAGTAGAATTCGGAAGTTTGCCTATTTCTTTCAGTCGATCAATTTAATTATTTATTTATTATTATTTAATGTAAACGACAGACGCCACATAATGATATACAGCATAAATATCGTTGATCAGCATCAACAGCTACGTCGACAAATTACTTCTGTTTTTTTTCTTTCACCTGACACAGTTTTTAATGCGATCGTTGTTCATCAAAACCTTTGACACACGTATTATGATATAAATGAGATATATATATAAGTTGACACTTAAATCACAATGATGTCATAATTAAATCCATTGCAAAAAAAATAAAAAAACTGTCACAAGCCTGATGCAAAAAATTATCCGAGTCAGAGTTATTTGCGATTCTGGACAAACTAACAATTACTTGACTGTGTTCCACCTGGACTGCCCGAGATTCCGCCGATTCCGAGTGTACTGACGTTGCGAACGTTTGCAAAACAACTGACGGCACATTAAGTTTGGCGGAACATCAACACTTCCGTGCGGCCGCTGCGGCTGCAGCCAGTCGAAATTGGCACTGTCGGCCGCACTGTCGGTCGTGTGCGCCAAAGCTTTTGCCGAATGCTGGCCAAAAGTTTCACTCAAATTTCGGGCCATCGCTCGCCTTGGTAGGTTGGCTGAGCTTCGGCTCATCGACTCATCGGCTCCATTCGGCTCCATTCGGCATTTCGCCCTCGCTGGTTTGTTTACCTTTTGGCGCATTCAACACGTGGTTCCTCCAATACTCAAACTTTGCCTTTGTTTACCTTTGCAACTGAGTATCCCGCAATAGTTAAATATACAGCGTGCATGTCGTTTTTCAATCTTGAGTATACAATTAGTCGAAATAAAAATTTTTTTTACTACTTAGTATTTGTTATATCCATGTTGATAATTTTTAATTTTACATATACACTCAACGAGTGTATTGTAATAGTTATAATCAGTTGAAGAGTGCAAATGAAGACAAGAATAAGAAAGAGTTTTGCCCTGACTGACCGATGTGATGAAAATGAACGCTAGGACGGGGTCTGGGAAAATTCCACCCGCAAGTGTGAAAATACGCGGAAAACGCGGTTTTCAATCTTTGTTGATGGATTCTCTTAAATTTGATGTCCAAAATTTGAATAAAATAAGTAAGACCGGCAAGACCAGCTATGTAAAGTAAAGTATCTAAATCATCAAAAAATACGTTTTATGCATCAACCTAGTCTTATGGCTCCCTTAGCGCGTCAGTTCCAATGAGCATTATCATATACTAGTTCTTCGGCAAGCTGGCATTTTTAAAATGCACAGTCGAATTAAGTTTTCTCAAAATGGTTAAATTATTAATTTTTGTCATCTCCATGTGTGTAATTATGGATGCAAGAGCTTTTAACTCACTGGGACAAAGGAATAAAGAAGGGTTGGGCTTGGTGCGCCTTTTTGTGGGTAAGACTATATGTATGTATATCCCAGAGCATGTTTGCAAATTAAAAGCATTTTCATCTTTGGCCAGAGTTCATAATTTTTGCGCCCTTTCATTAAGACCTCTATAGCATGCGTGGGCTGCAAACACATTGGTCCTCCTTTTAATTGTTCCTTCCAACAGCTGCTGAAGGGCGTTGCGGACCCAGAGCGCTGTTGTTGGGCGAGGGGAGGGGAGGAGGGGAGGGGAAAAGCCGGATTCGGGCCACAACTGATGCAGTGGCGTTATTTTAACGTTAGGTGTACACAAAAAGTTATAAGCGCCCGCTCTGCTTCTCTTATCTTTGCCTATTGTTAAGAGCGTCGCCCACTTTTTGGCTAGGCATACTTTAGATGTGGGCGTGGCATATCTGCCCAGAGGCCTTGGCGGAACCACATATCAACCAAAAACCCTTGTAATTGTGCCGTCCTATACCGCTTTACATTTTATTCACAAAGAAGCATACAAAACCATCCACATGGCTGTTAATTGTACTCTCGGGCCAAGGAGTCGTCAGCTTGCGGGCACAGTTGGTGTCCCCCCCGCCCGACATTGTGGATTTTATGCATATATAATTTGTAATTTTGAAACTTGTTTTTCACTGTATTTTGTTCTTGAATGTGACAGGTCACGTTTGCTAGCAAAAATAATGAGCTCAACGCTAAAGCACATCGCAATCGCAATATGACAACCCTTTGAGTCGTGATTCGTGATTTACTCGGTATATTTAAAGTGTGCAAATTTTAGAAGAAATATATATATTTGCGACTCTATAAATCTCAATACTCAAAACTACTAGCAGGATTCCCCGGCTTTGCCCGTGGAACGTTTTGTGCTCAAAATTGTAGAATCAATGGTTTTCGTTGGAATCAACGGTTTCCGCTCATGATAATCATCAAACCATTGACTCGAATTTTCCATTGAAAAATGGTGGAATTGTATTACAAATCTTTGCGAATCAGCTCTGAAACTTCGCCGATTCAACCTCTGACCTGTATTTATCATTCAAAATGGGTGCATTTCCCGAGTAGTGTGATCGAAGATCTTCGAAAATCATTTTAAGCTCGACCGGATGGTTAACAAAAATGTTTCATAAAACCATTTTTCCTATTATTTCAGACTGGCTTGTGGAATTTTCTAAAACCCCGTCTAAGCGTGCACCGCCATTACATAAGGTAAGTACAATGCAAATTTCAGCCTGTAGTCAGTAGTCAGTCAACGCAGTCTTAAGTATCCATATTAAATAGTAAATAGTACTCAAGTTTCCAAGAATTGGATGAAAAAGTGAAAACTAAAATTTAAAGCCGGGCCAGCCCAGTTATACTATATGAAAGTTGTAAGAGCTATAGACAACGAAGTTGAAATAAGTTGTAACTAATTTCTGTCCTCCAAATAACCCACATAGTAGATTAAATATTTCTTGTGCTTGACAGTCGGTAGTCTTCTCCGTTCATCTCGCTCCTCCTCCTTCGGCCTTCCCAGGCTGTCGACCTACTACAGTGTATTCAGTCTTTCGGTGTATGCTAGTGTATTTGATAAGTATATATTTTCGGAGTAATTCATATTAAAGAAGATATTCTGTAATCTGTAACATGCACAAATGTAGATAAGTAAGTAAGACACAATCTCAATAAGAACACTCCAACAGGCATCTGTCTAGCTGTATAGTGTAGCATAGTTATAAATACAATTTCATAGAATTGTGGGAATTTCAGCTTCATTTTGCTAACCATACTTAATCAATTTGAGCTTGGGCGTAACTATTAACGCAATGAGCATTGCGTGCAATGCTGATGACTTTAAATTGATTGTACTCAGAAATACGTTTTATCAGAATAAGCAATGAAGATGAGAGAGAGAGTGAGCGCTGTCCAACTTTGAAGCTCGTTAAAACCCAAAGGCTTGCCTTAGTCCTTCTTGAAAAATGCAGACGAAATTTATATGGAGACCTCAGCTAAACTCTGTGCTGTCAACGCCAAACACCGAACGTCAATATACTGAAACGCACGTCATAAAGCAAGTGGAGACATTGCGAGATAGACAGAGACAGTCATTCCAGTTGCCGATGAGCCAGCCAGCCAGTCAGTCAGTCGGTCCATCAATTGTTTCAACGTGAGTGGGAATAGTTGTTGTTTTTTTTTTGCTGATGGCATCATCAGCCCATCGGCAGTAACAGAAACAGCAAAGGCAGGGACAGAAAAAGCATCAACGTCGTCGTCGTCGTCGTCGTCGTCGTCATCATGCACTGTGCTGGTCTTTCCTTCCTTCCTGTTACTGTTCCTGGCCACCTCCACTGGCGGCAAATGCCGAAGTGCACCAAAAACCAACCAACTAACGATCAGCAGACGCGGCGTCGATAGCACCGGCCCAACTGATGTGTAGAAGTAGTGGCATGGTATCGGGTTCAAGCTCTCACAGTCACACAGGCCCAAGTACGGGTACACAGAAATCCCATGAATAATTCCACTTCAATTCCACTTTGTATATTTCATTTTTGTGTTGCATACATCACGGCGGCAGCGTCAATGACAGACGACAGCAATTGGCTTTGATAACGTTTGCTCTTTTGCCTTTTTGTTTGTTGGGGTCGGGTCGATTGGAATGCAGTCTGCCCATCCTACAATTCGCCCAATACGCGTTATTTACTTATTAATCAACAATAATTCTCGGGCCTCGGCCAGCTGGTGCTTACATATTTATTTTGTTGCTCTGTGCACTTAAATAAACTTGTGTGTCAAATTTTTATCAATTATTCAGTTAAAATGCTGCACAAATCTACTCACCGCATTCGACCATTTGTAAATTGAATGATGGATTTATGAGCTTATAGCATTAAGTCCGTTTGGTTTTTGACAGAATTAAAATAAAAGCTGAATTATCATAGTAGCATTCACCAACTAAATATTTGGCATACTCTATATTTATAAGTAAGCACAAACACAGACTTGCATCAAAAGGAATATGCATCAATGGATTATATAAACAAATTGTCGGGTATGTAAGCGCACGACATATGTATGTGTGTGAGTACGAAAGCCCAAGACTATACCTCAAAAAAATGAGTGTCTTCTAATTTTTGGCAGGCAACGGGTATCTGTGTATATCATACTCAATTTGGTGTCTCTTGCTTTCGAATCTCTGGATCTCCGGGATCAACTCGTTTCTACATAAGCACATAATAATAGATGAAATAAAATATATACATTAAATGGCGAGTGACGTCACATGCATATGCACAAAACCAATATACCCATCTTTAGTTGTTTTCAAAGGGTTCAGGGTGTAATAAAAACATAACAAAAAGTCCTTCCGTTTCTGAATTGCACAAATGTGAGTGTGTATCTACGAGTATGCATATATAGTTAAGTCAACCGTAATGGCGTGCGATTGGCGATTGGCTGTCAGGTGTGCAGGAAGTCCAAAAAAAAAAAAGACTTTAAGAGCTAGCTTATGGCAAACGTATCAATTTCCATACAGGATGAGCGGCCAAGCTAATAGACGCACATTTAGATGGACACTAAAATGTCAATATTAACTATATACTTCTACTATATAGCATATGCAGATACAGAAATATAAATGCGAAAATTTATATACAAATAAATTCGACATCAGTTTTCACTTTCCTGCTTCGCACACGTAACTAACGTAAAATGGGAAAACACTCTTGCGTTCAGTTGTCTAAGCGATTTTTGATTACACTTCCGTCGGAAATTATCATATATCCTTCAGCTTGAATAATTTTCAAGCCAAATCGCGACATAGCCTGTTCGTACAGTCACCAACCTGCACAGAAGCACACCTGTCGTCATCCCCATTCACCTACCTCGTGTTGAATATTTACCTGAAGCTTTGCATTACTATATTCAGCCGTAGGGCAATACAGTAAAAACTGAAAGACAAGCTTTAAAATTTGAAATTGGTTGTCTGTGATTGTCTCAGGCCAATTAATTATTTCAATATATCGTATCAATATTAATCACTAAAATTATAATATAATGAATTTATTATTTATTTTATTTAAATTTAAATCTTTGTCCTGACAGACTGACAGATAATGTCAGGTAAGAAAGCTGCCTCT